TCCCATGACCCCCTTTCCCTGTGACCCCCTGACCCCTTTGACCCTCGCCTGACCTGCGACCCCCATGACCTGTGGCAGGTGAACAACATGACCCTGAACAACCTGCTGCTCAAAATGCTGGGCCCGCTACACGAGAGGACTCTGGTCATCCTACAGCTGCTGATACAGGTCAGTCCCCCCACCCCCAGCTGTTTGTTTGTTTGTTTGTTTGTCTGACGCGCTGACCGCTAGCTCCACGTGTGGTGTGGGTGGTTGGTGGGTGCTCTGGTGTGGTTTGCTACCTCTTTCCTACCAAACATCTATCGTCCTTATCTCTCCTCCTTCTTTCCTGTCAAACGTCTATCCTCCTTATCTCTCCTCCCTCTTTCCTATCAAACATCTATCCTCCTTATCTCCCCTCCTTCTTTTTTGTGTTTGTTACTCTCTTGTAACTCCTCTAATCTTCAACACGTATATGACCTTATTGTGTTGCAAGTGCTGTAAAACTCTTACTTAAACTAAAACTAGCTCCATGTGCGTGATGACTGCTAAATGCATTTGTGTGTGTCGCAACAAAGTGGAATCAGGTGCTCGTCGACTTTCGAGCATACAGAGGGTTTTTTTCTGTATCATCCTAGTCCTAATTTAGTTTTTTTGTTGTAGAATCTAGTAAGAGTTTTACGGCACTTGCAGCACAATGAGGTCACACAAGTGCCGAAGATTCAAGGTGTTTCAAGAGAGTAACAAACACAAAAAAAAAGAAGGAGGAGAGATCAGGATAATAGATGTTTGATAGGAAAAAAAAGAGAGCAAATCACACCAGAGTACCCGTCAACCACCCACCGTCTCGTCGTAAAGCTTGTTCACTTGTCTTGCTTATGCTGAGAAAAAAAAATACCCATGATCTGTCTTGAAAAAAGTCGAGATACCTGCGAAAGAAGGAGGTGACGGTAACCTGGTGTCAGGGGTAAAATCAGCGAGAAAATGGCCACCAAAGTTGGTGAATTCGAAAGCTTGAGTGTTTTATAAAACTGCAAATTTACATTTTTTGTGCCTTAAATCTTTATCTCCGTGGGGGGTAAACCCACTATGCCACACCCCTTCTTTGGTACTAAATCTAAAAATAATAAAAACGTCACTAAATGGATCATTAAATCAAAGCAAGTCAACCTATTTTGATAGTTCTTCATCTAATGAATGATTTCCTGGTTAAAGAGACTTTTTTTTGGCAATTGCCGAAAATTATTTGACATCGAAGTCGTCGTAAAGGAATGTGCCCCAGCCGCTACCAGCGGCTCATGGGCACAGCATTTCCGACCGTGAGCCGCTGGGAGCGCCTTGTCGGAGATAGAGAGTTAAATCAATGTGGTGAATCCCAAAAAAACCAAACAACCCCAATTTTTAAAAAAATTGCCCGACAGCCGCAAAAAGGTCGTTACTTCCAGTTTCATTATTTTGAAGAGCGCCTGATTTCACCACGATGCCACACATCTATTTATATCTTAATATCTTTTTTCTTGTCTTATTTCACTGTGTATAAAAAATAGTCTTGATACAAGATGCATTAGACGATTTGATCTGTAAATTTTGAGTTTCCTTGCATATGTTTTCATGGGGTCTGAGAAGTTGCCCATTTTTTTTCTGTAGCGTTTTGACATCTCTGTCCAGTTATATGACAGCTGTACGATGTGTCATGATGTGACACACTGGCTATGCTGTTGATTGGCGTCAAACAGTGTGTCTGGAACTATATTTTCTCGTGGATTAATACACAGGAAGTGTGTTAATCAGCACCGCTTTTCCATGTTACAACTTGATAATCCTATTTTCTGTTGACAATCAATGCGGCCAGTGAGACAGGATGAGAGTGAGATGTTACTCAATCTGATGTTACTGGTTGGATTTGTACGCATGGCAGAGTTTGGGTATTTCTTAGTTTTTTATCATTTCAGTTATAATAAAACTAATTAATAGTCACTTTAAAGGACAAGCGGGCTAACCCAGATTTCAGGGCTTTCAAAAAATCTTGACTGTCACCAAAAATGGACATTGCCCTACCTATAGGAGAAGTTTGGTTTCATTGGTGTGTATATTTGTTTGGTTGTAGAGAAAACTCTCCTTGTCTTTTAAAGACACTGAACAAGGGGTCCAAAAACTTTACCTTTGATTATCTCAAAACAACATTTTTCGGGATAGCCCCCTTGTGCTTAAGAAAGCGACCAAATGGAAGACACACTGTTTGACTGAGGTCTTTTGTGATACATTTCTTTTTTTTTTTTTCCACAGGTCTTGGGCAGCTGTGTTGCATTTCTAATCAGATATCAATTAACGAAAATCTTCTACCATTCATAATACATTGTGTAGAGTTAGAGTGTTGAAGGGTAAGTTATTATATACTGTGTAAGTAGATGCATGAGTGAAATTCTTTTTTGGTTTTAAATTTTTTTTGGGTGTTTTTCTTTGGGGAGGTTTGGCTTTGTCTCCTGTTGACAAAGCTTTGTGTTTGACTATCCTTATTTAAACACCGGAAAACTCATCTGAACAGAAGAAAATGTGGCTAAACTGTGATTCATAGTTCTGTCGTAAGCTGAGAAAATGCTTTTTTTCCTTTTTTGGTGCCAAATTTTTTGGATTTGTTAAATCGCAAACCTGATCAGTTACCCTACTTGTGTGAAAAAAATCAAAGTGAAACTGTGACTAGTTTTTGAATAGATTAGCGTTCAAATCGGAAGAATGCCTTTTAAAAAAATGGTTACGCTGACAAAAAGCCTCTTTATCTCGAAACTGCTGTTAACTTTTTTTTAAAAAGCCGTTTTGTCAGCTTACGTCAGCATTACTTCGGGTTTGTTTCTGTATTTCAATTTCTCTGTTTTGTTTTAGTGGACAAAAATTGTGGAAATTAATTGTTGTGAATGAATCAGACACAGGGGAGCTCAAGGAAACTTTGTCTCTTTGCTCAGGAGAGTGGTTGGAGGGTGCCACTAGTTGGTCCTACTCATTTTCTTTCCTTTTGTCTGTTCTGTCTTGCTCATATTACCTGCACTGAATGGCCATAAATTAATGTGTCGACATGCTTCTTTTCTTTCTCAAACTCAAACTCAGTGGGGGGGGGGGGGGGGTTGTTGTTTTTCTGTGGTTTTGAAGTTTCGTTTATGTTAGGATAATGTGTGCAATGACTGAATGTTTGTTGTCGCATAAGTCGCTCACTTAAACTGAAATGTACTGCCATGGTTGACCCAGATACGAAACACTATCAAAAGATTGTCTGATGTGTTGCTCGAGAGTGTCTGTTCGACCTATGACCCATGACCTCATTCAGAAAAGGTCATGCTGCAACAAATCCTACATGTTGTCTTGAGTGTAAGTAGTGTGTCTGTTCGACCTATGACCCATGACCTCATTCAAAAAAGGTCTTGCTGCTATGAGTCCTGCTAGTTGTCTTGAGTGTAGTGTATGTGTGGGTCGTATGTTGAGGCCAAAATATCTGCCACTGACGTTTGTCCTGTTTTGTGACACAGGTTCAGCTCGTTCGTGCCCCTCTGGACAAAGAGTAGCACTAGTGGCGTCTGTGTCCTAGTGGTTAGGCTACCGGACTTGTAATCGTGAGGTTGCGGGGTCGGGGTTTCGAGCCGCGGGCCCGACGTTGTGTCCTTGGGAAAGGCACTTTACACGAATTTTCCTCACTTCACCCAGGTGGGAATGGGTACCCAGCCATAGACAGCAAAAGATCTTGTCTGTGTGTTAGTGTTTTAGCGCCTATAAATGGCCGCTTGCACTGTATGCTTCCCAGGAAGTTGAGGTTGTTTCAGAATGCTCTCAGGTCAGCTGGGGTAATACGAGGGCTGTCCCACGGAAAACCGGAATTTGGCTGTAATTTGAAAACTATTCAATATTTTCACATTCTGTAAACGCACACTTGTAAAACAATCATTTAGAAATTTCCCGATTGAGCACCATGAGCATCGCACAAACCAAACGAGCACAGCAGTTCTCAAAATTGGTCAAGGGTAGAAGTGAGGTCTGTCTTTCGGTTTCTGACCGCAAAAGGTCTCAAACCTCTAGAAATACACACTGAAATAAAGTTAGTTTATGGGGAGAAAGTAATGGCAAAGTCACAGGTATATGAGTGATGTAGTAAGTTCAAAGCCGGGCACTCTGATATCAATGACAAAGTTTACCCAGGATCTTGTTTTTCTGCCAAGACTGAGGACAACAAGAGTCGCGTTAACGAGCTTAATCAAACAGACAGGCACCTAAAATTCGCGAAATTTGGGAGTTGCTAAACATTTCAAAGTCGACTGTCTATAGGATAGAGTTTGATGAGCTGCACTATTGAAAGGTCTCTGCTTGATGGGTTGGGGACGAAAAAGACCAGCGGGGTCATTTTGCAGCATGGCAACACAACGCCACACACTGCAAACGTCACGAAAGACTGGTTCCAAAGGTTCGGCTAGGAAGTTCTACTACACCCCCCTCACAGTCCTGACTTGGCCCTGTCAGATTATCACCTTTTTGAACCAATGAAACGCCATATTTCTGGACAGCGATTCACCGACGACGAAGACCTCGTGGAAGCCGTGAACGATGGGTTGAAATCCCTTGACGAAAGATTCTTCAGGGAGGGTATTTTCTCCCATATCCAGCGATGGGAAAAATTTGTCCAGCGGGATGCTGATTACATTGAGAAATAAAGCACATGTTGAAGTATGATGTGTTACAGTTTTATTGTAATAGGACAAAGAATTTTGCTTTTATGGACCTTTTCCGGTTTTCCGTGGGACAGCCCTCGTAGAATAGATTGTGAAGCGCATAGAGCTTGCTGTTGAGCGGGGATTTGCACTATACAAATGCTATCTATTATTATTAAAACACATAGACCTTGCTGTTGAGCGGGGATTTGCGCTATACAAATGCTATCTATTATTATTAAAACACATAGACCTTGCTGTTGAGCGGGGATTTACGCTAAACAAATGCTATCTAATATTGTCTATTATTATTGCAAGATGTAGTGGTCAGTTGCTTATGATTAGAGCTACTTTGTAAATTGCGACCTTGGTGCTTTCTTGTTGTATCTCCATTATTTTTAACAGCAAACATGTGACTTCTTCTTAAGCTCACTCTTTTTCATGAACTGTTTTCACTCTTATTAATGGGTGTTTGGCGGGTGCTCTGCTTCTTCTTTCCTA